CTTCAGAGAACAGGATGAAATTGTGATACGCTGCAGCTGTAGCCCTGTAGTTCCACTGAAAACCTGAATGGATGTCAAGAATATTAATATGTTGTTACCCTCTCATATATATTTATATATATATATGACTTTTTTAACTCATGGAAAATTCCCATTGTAACATTTAGAAAATCAAAACAAGTGATTCAGCGAAGAGACTCTTTTCAACGAATTTATCATCAAGCTGTACAGTCGTATATATATGGTTTATCAGAAGTTATATCCGGTGAGGGAATTGAATCTTAGGTGTGAATACATAAAATAATAATAATAATCATATGAAGTTCAATTAAAACTAAAATGTTTGTGATTATAATCGTAGTTAAATGTCAAGTGGCAAAGCAGATTAATGTCATATATAGAATAATTCATAGGAGGGATAGAACTTGAAAAAGGATGTGCAATTATAGGATTAGTAGGCAAATCGAATAAAACAAAAACGTTACGTAATATTGTGTGAAATTTAATAGCATAGAATTTATCGTTGTAAAAAAGAATTGATTTAGAATGACAAGTGGAACAAGTGAAATAATACCGGGGACAGTTCAAAGTGAGAATAGTAATAATAACAATTGACTTAATAAGGAAAAGTATACAAATTGAATAGACAAAAAAAAAAATGAAAAATTGGTAGAGCTAAAATATGATTGGGGATTACCATATTTTAGCATAGAGGGATTAAGACCATGAAAGTTGGAGGGGTTGAACGAACTTTTTCTGTACACAGAGATCTGGCTTTTCTGTTTCGATAGCCAAAGCTTCAGCAATACAGATGAGTCGGGTACGTAGGGATTTAGGTAGATTGCTCTTTGCCTTGTAGATGACTTTAAAGGCGGAGGCTATAGAGATAGGGTGATCATTTTCGACCAGATGTTCTATGATCGCGCTTCTTATTGCTCCACTTCCACCTTTTCGTAGCCATGCAGGATAATGTTCTTGCACCCTCTTGGACAAAACTCGAGTCGAACGACCGATATACCTAGCTCCACAAGAGCAGGTGAATTGATAAACGCACATAGAGTTGGTCAACATTGGGATCTTGTCCTTCAGGTTATTGAACAATAATGGTCGGCTAGTAAAAGCTATTCTCAGGGAGGCAGCAGGGAATGTTCTTTTCAGGGACTGTGATATCCTTCGTTTCATGATATCGGAAGCTAAGTCCCCTTTGAATTCTAAGCTCATGTAAAGTATTTTCTTGGGAGCGGTTGATAAGTCACGTTTTGTAGGCTTTGAATGTATATTCTTATCTATAAAACGTGGTGGAAATCCATTTTCCATTAGGATTTTCCTCAAAATGTATAACTCATCTTCCACAGTATCAGTGCTACATATGCGCCGAATACGAGTGGCAAGCGACCGGACCAGGTTTCGTTTACGACCAATAGGTACCCAGCTATAGAAATTTGTCAGTTGACCATTCCATAACAGCCTACGATAAATCGATCTCTTCAGAGTTCCATCGGTCCTTCTTGATAAGTTCACATCGAGGAAATGAATGCTAGACTCGTTCTCCATTTCGAGTGTGAATTTTATCGCAGGATGGCACTCATTAAATACACTTAATATATTATTCAGGTTACAATCAATATTACAAATAATAAAGGTGTCATCTACATACCTTTTATATATTTGAAAGCTTTGGATCATAGGCTTCAGGGAACCATTTTCTAGACTGGACATAAAAACGTCTGCAAGGAGAGGACCCAAGGGAGAACCCATCGCAATACCATCCTTCTGCCTGTAGATTGTTTCATTGAAAGTAAACTGTACATTCAATGTACATCTCAAAAGTAGTTCTTTAAGATCTGTAGTAGGTATCCCTATGTTCAATTTGTTGTCTTCAATATATTTGCATATAAAACATATGGTCTCTGTCAGTGGAACGTTCGTAAATAAGGATTCTACATCCAAAGACAACATTTGTTTATTCGACGCATTTATATCCTGTATACATTCAACAAATTGGAAGGTGTCCCGAAGGGAATGATTAGATAGTTGCCCCCTGACTGGTTCGAGGATTTCAGCTAACCACCCAGCTACTGGATGATAGGGCGATCCAGACATATCCAAGATAGGGCGAAGTGGAACTCCAGCTTTGTGTATTTTCGGTAGACCATACAGTCTTGGTATTAGAGATCCTGTTGGTCTGATCTTTTCGTATAATTCTTCACGAATGAGATGATTGTTCTTCATTCTCTTTAAAGTATCAGTAAGTTGTTTCTCAATTAATTCCGTCTTGTTTTTCTCGTTCGGTTTCGAGAATTTACTGCTGTCTGAAAGTAGACATGACATTTTATCGATATAATCTTTTCGATCCATAATAACAACACCTGTACCCTTGTCAGGGCGTGTTAATAGTATATCGCTGTTATGCGTCAAAAGCTTAAGTTCTTCTTTGTGCTGTTTAGTAAGAAGACTTTGCATTTTTGATCTAGCATTAAGGTATTGATTGCAGGAGTCCGTAATGGTAGATTTGAAGCATTGGAAATCCTGGTCTGACGATGGTGTGAGATCATAGGTTTGACTGAGTAAATTCTCAAACTGGACATGAGTATGTAGCTTGTTGATATTGAGATTAACATCGCAAAACTTCGAGCCCATAGACAAGGCTTCCATTTGTAATTTCGATAAAGATATAGAGGAGTGGTTGAACACGTATCTCTCCGAATTCTCAGGAAATTTTCGAAGACGTTCGATAGGTTTTAGGCTATTAGATAGCTTCGAATTAAAAGACATAGTTTGTTTGTTGGTGACCACATTGACATAATCATTAAACGTCTGACGTTCATCAACCGATAAGTCATATAGAGCAGAAGATCTTTGTGATATATTCCTTTCTAGCTCAGGGATACGTGAACTGATAGAATCAATGTGATTCAATGCGTGTCTCTTGAGAGATTTTGCATTAGGATATATGTGATTGCGTCGGAGCACTTTCCAATACCATTTCGGATACTCATGATTATTGATGCATTCATTAAGAAAACAAATCTCTGCATTCACCACGGCAAGTTTGACAGAATAACGCAGGAACCCGTTGAGTTCCTTTACTGTCAAGGGATCTTTGCTATTTTTTAACTCATGGAAAATTCCCATTGTAACATTTAGAAAATCAAAACAAGTGATTCAGCGAAGAGACTCTTTTCAACGAATTTATCATCAAGCTGTACAGTCGTATATATATGGTTTATCAGAAGTTATATCCGGTGAGGGAATTGAATCTTAGGTGTGAATACATAAAATAATAATAATAATCATATGAAGTTCAATTAAAACTAAAATGTTTGTGATTATAATCGTAGTTAAATGTCAAGTGGCAAAGCAGATTAATGTCATATATAGAATAATTCATAGGAGGGATAGAACTTGAAAAAGGATGTGCAATTATAGGATTAGTAGGCAAATCGAATAAAACAAAAACGTTACGTAATATTGTGTGAAATTTAATAGCATAGAATTTATCGTTGTAAAAAAGAATTGATTTAGAATGACAAGTGGAACAAGTGAAATAATACCGGGGACAGTTCAAAGTGAGAATAGTAATAATAACAATTGACTTAATAAGGAAAAGTATACAAATTGAATAGACAAAAAAAAAAATGAAAAATTGGTAGAGCTAAAATATGATTGGGGATTACCATATTTTAGCATAGAGGGATTAAGACCATGAAAGTTGGAGGGGTTGAACGAACTTTTTCTGTACACAGAGATCTGGCTTTTCTGTTTCGATAGCCAAAGCTTCAGCAATACAGATGAGTCGGGTACGTAGGGATTTAGGTAGATTGCTCTTTGCCTTGTAGATGACTTTAAAGGCGGAGGCTATAGAGATAGGGTGATCATTTTCGACCAGATGTTCTATGATCGCGCTTCTTATTGCTCCACTTCCACCTTTTCGTAGCCATGCAGGATAATGTTCTTGCACCCTCTTGGACAAAACTCGAGTCGAACGACCGATATACCTAGCTCCACAAGAGCAGGTGAATTGATAAACGCACATAGAGTTGGTCAACATTGGGATCTTGTCCTTCAGGTTATTGAACAATAATGGTCGGCTAGTAAAAGCTATTCTCAGGGAGGCAGCAGGGAATGTTCTTTTCAGGGACTGTGATATCCTTCGTTTCATGATATCGGAAGCTAAGTCCCCTTTGAATTCTAAGCTCATGTAAAGTATTTTCTTGGGAGCGGTTGATAAGTCACGTTTTGTAGGCTTTGAATGTATATTCTTATCTATAAAACGTGGTGGAAATCCATTTTCCATTAGGATTTTCCTCAAAATGTATAACTCATCTTCCACAGTATCAGTGCTACATATGCGCCGAATACGAGTGGCAAGCGACCGGACCAGGTTTCGTTTACGACCAATAGGTACCCAGCTATAGAAATTTGTCAGTTGACCATTCCATAACAGCCTACGATAAATCGATCTCTTCAGAGTTCCATCGGTCCTTCTTGATAAGTTCACATCGAGGAAATGAATGCTAGACTCGTTCTCCATTTCGAGTGTGAATTTTATCGCAGGATGGCAATCATTAAATACACTTAATATATTATTCAGGTTACAATCAATATTACAAATAATAAAGGTGTCATCTACATACCTTTTATATATTTGAAAGCTTTGGATCATAGGCTTCAGGGAACCATTTTCTAGACTGGACATAAAAACGTCTGCAAGGAGAGGACCCAAGGGAGAACCCATCGCAATACCATCCTTCTGCCTGTAGATTGTTTCATTGAAAGTAAACTGTACATTCAATGTACATCTCAAAAGTAGTTCTTTAAGATCTGTAGTAGGTATCCCTATGTTCAATTTGTTGTCTTCAATATATTTGCATATAAAACATATGGTCTCTGTCAGTGGAACGTTCGTAAATAAGGATTCTACATCCAAAGACAACATTTGTTTATTCGACGCATTTATATCTTGTATACATTCATATATGACTTTCCCTCCCTTTCAGGTATTGGTTTCGCATGTACCCTGATCAATTTCTACCTAAACTGCTATTACACCGTGATATTATCCTGGGCATTTCATTTCATATTCTCTTCATTTACAACTGAACTCCCATGGACTAAATGTGGTCAGCCATGGAATACGCCCGCGTGTACTGTATTTACAAATCAACCGAAAAATGAGACGATTTTGCAATATACTAATACTACTCATACAATTGCGACTATACAGGGGAGTAATCAAAGCCTGTTGGCAGTCGATGCCACTACAGAATATTGGGAGTAAGTATATACAAAAATAACTGGTAGTTGGATAATTTTTTTTCAACAAACTATTTTTCTTTATTTATAGACATACATTACTAAAATAAATTAATCAGTAGTAAAGAAAAGGACTAACAACGGTAACTGCTAATGACTATTGGCTGGCTAGTTATTATCATAAGCGAAGGTGCGCAGCGGAGACAGTCAATCCCCTTTTTCCTCTCTACCTTACACTCTCAACCGGTTCTCATCAACACTACCCATGTAATACGCAATCTTATACAGGAGATAAAATGCCGGCATCTTCCATGTCCATGAGCAGTAGAGAAGGACGGGAGGAATCGAGGGGCAGTAATCTCACTTTGCCTTTTCCCGATAGGTATTTGTAAAATATTCAAGTGATGTCAACTAGTGTTTCAGCGATAGAATGCACGTCAAACAATCGCGGAAGATTTTACTTATGGGACAAGACTATCCACTGAATACATTATTTTAGGAATTCACTGATGCCTCACGTCTACTATCTTTAAATTACAGGGTAAAATATATTGAAAAACAAAAGGTGTAGCAAAGCGATGGATCACCAATATTCCCTCCTCCAATCTTAGCAGATATCTTTACGGATGACAGCTGTGAAAATCGGGTTCTTTATGCAACTATCCCTGTCCAAAAATAGTGTGGAGATATGTGGATATAACACTTTCACTGAGTTAAAAACAGAACATATCTCTAGTTTCTTTGAACATATAAAATAAACTCTATAGTAAAGGGGATAATATTCACATCTGAATAGGAAATTGAACAAGGAGAATTATTAGATTCTGAAATAAAACGAGCACAAAGAAATAGGCAAACTTCACACTAGTGTTCATGAAAAGCCAATGCATCCTAATGGATATTTAGATACTTAATTCATCTCATCCGTTGTGTGTGAAGACATGTTTGGTTCAGTGTCTAACGAACCCAGCAGTAGCACTAAGTCCTACACAAATGACTTAAATGATGAAATAAAAGAGAAGTTGGTGTCATATAACTATCCTATAGAATGCATTAGGAAGATCAAAAAAGGTCAAAATAAGAAATAATGGTGAAACTAATAATGATAACATAAATAAGAGAGAATATAAGGCATCTACAGTTTTACCATATCAAGAGGGAGGGGGCATCTGAGACCCTACGTAGGATTCCTAACAAAGCAGGAAACTCACTCAGGTAAGACAAGTTGTGTAGGCCAAACGCTGCTGTTGACCCGACCAGAGAAAATAATATAATTCACAACATACCTTGCAATTACTCATAGCTAAGTCAGCTACATAGAGGAAACCAGTAGGTCCGGGGTGTTTCGATTATCAAAACATACAAATTTAGCTAAATGCAGAATGGTTGACCCCGCAATTGCACTGCATGCATTAACACACAACCACACAGTGGAGTGAGACAGAGCTGCTATTCTAGAAAGTAATGTGGGTAGATGGAGACACAGTTTGATTACTGAATCTTTGTTCATCGAATCTACGACACCTAACACATGCCAGTAGAAATCACTTATCAGCAAATCAAGAGGTGAAAAATAGCGGAATTATATAAAGACGAAGTAGGAAATTTTTGTGAGTAGTGCCTTGATATGATTCTGAGGAGCAATAAATTGTGGTCGAAACGCTGTGATCGATAAATAATACTGTATAACAACACTTTGAAACTTTATCATAGTAAATTTTCTCCATGAAGGAAGGAAGGCAAGGCTTGCTTTGAAGCTGGTAGCCTCACCAATAACCAATGGAATTTCCAAGCTCAAGATAAAAGTTGTATATTCCACTCCAGAAGAAAATGGGGTGGAAAAAATTTGAAAGAACCGCTGAGCTTTACTTTCAATGTTCAGTTCACCATTCACCCCATCTGTGAACAAAAGGATGGCATATTGCAGTTTGTCTCCCATGTGTTTCCATTACTAGCAAACTCTTTCAAGGTTAGTCTTAAAAACAGTCCATTAAAGTCGACTACTGACAGTATACAGCTGTATACAAGGTACGTAGATGACGTCTTCATTATCTGTGACAATAGTTATAACCCCAATCATCAACTGTTACAAGTATTTAACAACTGCCACCTAGCATTAAAATTCACTCTAGAGACGGAAAACGAATGAAAAATTCCCTTTCTTTTCATGTGGATCTAACAAGAAGACCCGACGGGAAATTTAAAAATATCGGTTCATACAAATCAGACTTAGAACAATGGTGAAAATAACAAGTTTCTACAGTTGAACGAAAGAGAAATCTAATTGAATCCCTTACCAGTCGGATCTGAAGTGAAGTCTGCAGTCCTGACGCCCTGGAAGTAGAAGTGAATCTCTAAAAAGTAATCTTCATCTAAATACTAGGTAGACTTAAAGGTTCACTGACAACAATATCAAAGCAAATGAAGGTCCAGAGGAACGAACCATAACTTTTCCAAGAAGAGAAACTTTAAATGGAACTGGATTTCCAAAGGAGACTTAGCCTGCAATATCCTTAAAGAAGAATTTCAGCACCACTGGGAGGAACATTCTCCACAGATACACCAAGAGCAAAGTGTTCTCCATTCGTCCATTGGTCCGCAGAAGCCATAAAGACAAGATCATGTATCTCACTACTTCTGCATGCACAAGTATATTGGTTCATCTGTTGCTGAGAAGCCAGGTTTACTGGTCACTGGACACGTATTCTGTCCAGAAAGTTTCAATAACACTTTCCCAAAGCACCGCTGCAGAAAGGTAGTAATTATTGTGCAATAATCGAACACCTCTTCAACATCATCTCAAATAAAGCCTTCTTCTTAATAATCTACAAAGTGAAGAACAGTAACCTGCCGGAGACAATGTGCCTCAGTGTCCTCTGTGCATTGCCAGAGCTTAAGCCATGCATACAGAAAAACAGGAGTTATGCATATAAAGGAAAATAATTCAACCACTTCTACTTCAACAAAAACCTTGTTGATTTCCAGCGACTTGATATCCATTTCATACATTTATTCCCTTAATGAATTTAAACAAAGCAAGAACTACAGTTTTAGCAGAATAAACTGGTACCATCTCTTATTTCGTCGCCTTATCGTCAGCTGCTTACATGGCAAAGACATTATTAAATATATCTACAACAACAATTTTAACATACTTGCATAGAGTTAAATTTAAACAAAAATCAATCGATCCATATACTCATACACTAAAAATATATACATATATAAATATGCAATATTAACCACTATTCCGAACAATAATAATCAAACGATTTTCTGAACATGTACCAAAAAGCTCACGTTTAAAGGGAACAAATGCCTTAAACAGTGCCATCACCAGGCATCTCCTCGACACGGGTCATGAGGTGGACGTCGAAAAGTCGTTCAAAATTATCAATAAGCAAAATAGCTCAATTCTGCTTAAGTTTGCTGAAGCCATTTCCATCAAGCGCCTGAAACCTGATTTATGCGTCCAGAAAGAAGCGGTTATCGGCCTTTCTTTGCCCTGGTAACTGGATAATTTCACCTCTCTTTCATCCGAATGTGAAATGCTAAAAGTTTCCATTGTGTTTGATTATTATTGTTCGGAATAGTGGTTAATATTGCATATTTATATATGTATATATTTTTAGTGTATGAGTATATTGATCGATTGATTTTTGTTTAAATTGAACTCTATGCAAGTATGTTGAAATTGTTGTTGTAGATATATTTAATAATGTCTTTGCCATGTAAGCAGCTGACGAGAAGGCAACGAAATAAAGGATGGTACCAGATTATTCTGCTAAAACTGTAGTTCTTGCTTTGATATCCATTTATTTGTTTGTTTTTCTGATTCCTTGTGGCTCTTGTAATTCTTCATAACTCTTCCATATGTCCATATGTCCGTTTCTATATATATCCTACTCGCAACTTATTCATTAAGCCATCCGTCTTATTACGTAACTATAATACACTTATTCAACTTTTTTTATTCATTTACTAACATTAACAACTGTGATTATGATAACAGTTTATCACTTTTGTTACTGCAGTTTTCTATGCGAAAGAGATCACATATCAATTCAGTTGTACAGCTCCAAAGAGGAGAGAATGAAGTGACCTATGGGGGGGGGCTTTTCTCTGAACCACGTGTTTTGTTAATGCCTTCTATATTTCGTAATTGCTGTCTACAAAAAATTTAGTTTTAATGACACTCAACTTTGGAAGCATTCCTTGTGGTGCGCTTTGACAATGCATTATATGCATGTATATGTCTCTTCGAATTGAGAATGATATCTCTGGGAATCGGAGATACTCTTTGCTGGACGTCTGTTCATTTATAAGGACATTTAATGCGGATTCTGTGGTACAATCATAGTAGAACATAGGGTTTCTCCAATCCACTCTCAATCTCCATGATCACTTTCAAATAATTCCAGGACTGTCCACATGCCCTCTTTTTCTCCTCATAGCACGATCTCCTCTATGTTACTATCGTTTGATCTGCAAAGAAGTAGTCTCTCACTTCACATTTGGGTTCCCTTCAACAGCTTACCAAGCATGTGATTTCATCTGATAGTCTTCTAAATGTATGTGTCTCATCTACTTCCATCCCCTTCACTAAATTTACTGTCGACCTACTGACTTTCTGTTAGAGTTCCTTGTGGGGTGAGGATGTTGAAGAAAGATTTGGAAAGTCAAAACATATCTTCATTATTATAAAACGAATGTGGAGATCTGTCATACTCGGTTGCATAATGAACAAAATTCTGATTTTCAAGGTTAATGTCAAGTCAGTCAGTCGATGCTTCTATATAGTTTAGAGATTTGGTGTACGCGTCATCAAAAACATTTCAAAAAGGCTATTGCAGACTTGCTGTTACAACGGCTGGCTTCGCTGGCTGCATATCGAAGACCATAACACTGACTGGAAGGGATTATCAGCAAGGAATTCTGGGAGCGAGCCAAACCAGAACCTATTTCCCGTCAAATATGCAGAAGGAAACGTAGATGGATCAGATCCACACCAGCAGAAGACT